CCCCCCCCCCCCCGGGCCAGCGATGGTGGCCAGTTGCCCCACATCCTCCTGCACTTGCCACACATGGGGGCGGGTGGGTTTTGGGCCAGCGAACGAGGAGTTTGGGCCACTGAAAGTGGATAAAATAAAATTGAGGCCTAGTCAAGATGGCTGCCACCAGGGGCCTGGAGAGGGGGGAGGCCTCGGGGGGCAACTACTGGCCCCCCATGGGCCAGCAATGGGGACTGGGGGGCAACTGTGGGTCCAGGGGGGGCAACTGTGGGTCTTGGGGGGCAACCATGTCCCCTCGCCACCCACATGGTGTCCCCACCACACACCATGATGTCCCCATGGGGCACCGTGTCCCCGTGTCCTCACCCCACGGCCCCACATCTCCACCCCATGGCCCCACACCATCTCCCCATGTCACGTCCCACCACCCCACGGCCCCACACCACCCCACATCTCCGTACCATCTCCCCATGTCCCCACAACCATCTCCCCACGTTCCATACCATGTCTCCACACCACCCCACGTCTCCCTCACCATCTCCCCACGTCCCACACCATCTCCCCACACCACCCCATATCCCCATACCATGTCCACCATCTCCCCACCTCCCCACACCATCTCCCCACACCACCCCACCTCCCCACACCATCTCCCCACGTCCCATACCATCTCCCCACGTCACCCTACGTCCCCATACCACCTCCCCACGCCACCCCACCTCTCCACGTCCCCCCCACTGCCCCTCACCTGGGCGCTGAGGGCCTGGATGTCGTGCTCGTAGGCGCTGTGGAGGCGTTGCATGGCCTCCGCCGTGTTGAGGTCCCTGCCCACCTCCTCGGGCAAACCCTGCTGCTTCTCCCGGATCTGGGCCAAGGTCTCCCGGGCATCGTGGAAGAAACGTTGGAGCTCGTAGGAAGCCGCCAACATCTGGGAGCGGGTGTCCATCAGCTCCAGCAGGTCGGCCCAAGCCTCGTTGAGCCCATCCTTCCACTCGGCCACCGTGGCGTTCTCCGAGTGGCCGGCGGCGATGAGGGCGTCCGCCAACCCGTTGGCCGCGTCCACCCGCTCCTGCCCTATGCTGCTGGTGTCCCGCGAAAACTCCCGGAACTTCTCCCGCAGCATCTGGAGTTGGGGGGGCAGAGGCATTTTGAGGACACCCCCTTCCATCAGAATGCCCATAATTTATCCAAGAAGTGTCAGGGGTGGCATTTTGGGGACATCTTGGAGACCCAGGAGGCACCTCATGTGTCTAGGATGGCTTTTGGGGGACATTTTGGAGTCACAAGGGACACCCCGTGTGTCTAGGATGGCATCTTGGGGTCACATCCCATGAGAATTCCCATCATTGATGCAAGAAGTCTCAAAGGTGGCATTTGGGGGACATCTTGGGGACCCAGGGGACACCTCGTGTGTCTAGGATGGCTTTTGGGGGACATTTTGGGGTCACAGGGGACACCTCATGTGTCTAGGATGGTATTTTGGGGACATCTTGGAGAACCAGGAGGCACCTCATGTGTCTAGGATGGCTTTTTGGGGACATTTTGGGGACCCAGGGGACACCCCGGCCCATGAGAACTTCCATAATTGATGCAAGAAGTGTCTAGGATGGCATTTTGGGGACATCTTGGGGACCCAGGAGGCACCTCATGTGTCTAGGATGGCTTTTGGGGGACATTTTGGGGTCACAGGAGACACCCCATCCCATGAGAATTCCCATAATTGATGCAAGAAGTGTCAGGGGTGGCATTTTGGGGACATCTTGGAGACCCAGGAGACACCTCATGTGTCTAGGATGGCTTTTGGGGGACATTTTAGGGTCAGAGGGGACACCCCACACGTTGGAGATGGCCTTTGAGGGACACCCCAGGTGTCAGGGGTGGCATCTGGAGGACATTTTAGGGCCACCTTACCTCTTGGAGATGGCACTTTGGGGACACCCTAAGAGTTGGAGATGGCCTTTGAGGGACACGGGGGTCACCCCAGGTGTCAGGGGTGGCATTTTGGGGACCCAGGGGCCACCCCACCCCACCAGAACCTCCATAATTCATCCCACCTCCCTCTGCCAGGAGAAGGACAACCTTGGGGACAGAGGGGCCACCACCTTCTATTGTCCCCACCACTGTTGTGTCCTGCCCCGTACCGTGACATGCTCGTAGTCCTGCCCCAGCTCGTGGGACGCGGCCACCACCTCCCGCTCCTGGACCCATTGCTCCAGGTGGTCCAGGTCCCGGCGGAGCTGGCAGAGACGTTGCTGCTCCTGAAGGACCCCCCGCCGTTCCCCCGCCAGCTCCGTCAGCCCCACGTAGAGCTTCTCCACCTGGGCCTGGCGCAGCCCCAGACGCTCGCTGTGGGGTGGGGGACAATGTCACACGAAGGGGACAACGGCCACCAACCCCCAACACGGGGTGGGGGACAACGTCTTGAGGGGGTGGGAGGTGGGAGGAAGGGATAGGAGGCTGGTGGGATGAAGGGTATGGGGTCAGGAGGTGATGAGGGACACAGGAACATCTTGAGATGATGGGTGTGGGGACAGGAAGGGACAGGGACCTCATGGGATGATGGACATGGGGCAGGGAAGTGGTGATGGGGACACAGGGACATCATGGGATGATGGACGTGGGGCTGGGAGAAGGTGATGGAGACACAAGGACCTCATGGGATGATGGACGTGGGGCTGGGAGTTGGGAGGAAGGGACAGGAGGGGATAGGGGGCTGGTGGGATGAAGGGTATGGGGTCAGGAGGTGATGAGGGACACAGGAACATCTTGAGATGATGGGTGTGGGGACAGGGAGCTCATGGGACGATGGCCGTGGGGTTGGGAGGTGGTGACAGGACCACAGGGACCTCATGGGATGAAGGAACCGGGGGGACAGGAGGACATGGACCTCATGGGATGAAGGAACCAGGGGGACAGGGACCTCATGGGACGATGGCCATGGGGTTGGGAGGTGGTGACGGGACCCCAGGGACCTCATGGAATGAAGGAACAAGGAGACATGGACCTCATGGACCAACAGATACGGGGACGGGAGGTAACAGGAGACCCCCAAACCCCCAAGTGGAACACCCCCAGGTCCTCCCCTTCCCCCCCCAGGTTGTCCCCTGTCCCCCCACCTCTCGGGGTGCCCGTTGGTCACCATGTCCCGGCTTTGGGCCGCCAACGCTTGGATGGTCTGGGCGTAATCCCTCAGCTCCTGCTCCAGCACCAAGTGCTTGTTCACCATGGCTTGGGCGCTCAACTCGTCCTACCAAGACATGGTGGGGTGGGACAACACCTCAAGGGGTGTCTGGGGGGGGGTGACAACCTCAAGGAAGGACGTGTTTTGGGGTTTGGGGGGGACCCCTCAAACCTTGGCTTTCTCCTGGGCCAACATGTGGAGCTCCTGCTCGCCCATCCAAGCTTCGGCCTCGGCGGCGTCCCTCAGGAACTGGTGGGCGGCCAGGGCCTTCTCCAAACGTCGGTGTCGCTCCTCCGCCTGCAGCTGCAGCTCCCCCCAGGCCTCCCGCAGCTCCTGCACCCCCCTTTCGGCGGGGAACCCCGAAAACGCGTCGCCCCCCTCGCCGGTGCTGCGCCCCAGGAGCTCCTCCACCCGTCGCTGGTGGCCCTGGAGCTCCTTCTGGAGGGTCTGGAGATGGAGAGAAAGGGGAAAGGGGGGCAGAGGGTGAGCATCTGGGGTCACCCAGGGTGGGGGGACCCCAACATGGGGACAGTAGGATGGGGGGACCACCCCAAAGGGGATAGTGGTGGCCCCCAGGGTGGTGGGACCTCCTCCTTGGGGACATTGGTGGCCTCCCAGGGATGGTGGGACCCCAAGATCTGGGAGAGCAGGATGGGGGTCCACTCTATGAGGGACAGTGGTGGTCCCCAGGGTGGTGGGACCCCCACGTGGGGACAGTGAGATGGTGGGACACCCCCAAAGGGGATACTGGTGGCCCCCAGGGTGGTGGGACCTCCTCCTTGGGGACATTGGTGGTCCCCAGGGATGGTGGGACCCCCAAGATCTGGGAGAGCAGGATGGGGAGACCACTCTATGGGGGACAGTGGTGGTCCCCAGGGTGGTGGGACCCCCCTATGGGGACAGTGAGATGGTGGGACCCCCCCAAAGGGGATACTGGTGGCCCCCAGGGTGGTGGGACCTCCTCCTTGGGGACATTGGAGGCTCCAGGGATGGTGGGAACCCAACACTGGTGACCCCCCATGGTGGTGGGACCCCCTGGTTGGGGACATTGGTGGCCCCAGGGATGGTAGGAACCCAACATTGGTGACCTCCCATGGTGGTGGGACCCCCCAATTGGGGACATGGTGGCCTCAGGTTTGGGAGGAACCCCTGTTTGGGGACAAAGGTGGCCTTGGGGATGGGGAGGACCACCTCATTGGGGCCATGGTGGCCCCAGGGGTGGGAGGGGACACGGTGGTGGCCCCAGACCCACCTGGTTCTTCTTGATGAGGAGCTGGACCGAGGGCAGGTCCTCCCCAGGGATGGTGGGACCCCCAAGATCTGGGAGAGCAGGATGGGGAGACCACTCTATGGGGGACAGTGGTGGTCCCCAGGGTGGTGGGACCCCCCTATGGGGACAGTGAGATGGTGGGACCCCCCCAAAGGGGATACTGGTGGCCCCCAGGGTGGTGGGACCTCCTCCTTGGGGACATTGGAGGCTCCAGGGATGGTGGGAACCCAACACTGGTGACCCCCCATGGTGGTGGGACCCCCTGGTTGGGGACATTGGTGGCCCCAGGGATGGTAGGAACCCAACATTGGTGACCTCCCATGGTGGTGGGACCCCCCAATTGGGGACATGGTGGCCTCAGGTTTGGGAGGAACCCCTGTTTGGGGACAAAGGTGGCCTTGGGGATGGGGAGGACCACCTCATTGGGGCCATGGTGGCCCCAGGGGTGGGAGGGGACACGGTGGTGGCCCCAGACCCACCTGGTTCTTCTTGATGAGGAGCTGGACCGAGGGCAGGTCCTTTCCGTGGTCCGTGGACACGGCCAGCGCCCGGCGCTCCTTGACCCACAGCTGGGGGGGGGACAACAAGGGGTCAGGGATGTTGGGGGACAGGGATGTTGGGGGACAGAGATGTTGGGGACAGGGATATTAGGGACAGGGATATTAGGGACAGGGATATTAGGGACAGGGATGCTGGGGACAGGGATATTAGGGACAGGGATGCTGGGGACAGGGATGCTGGGGACAGGGATATTAGGGCCAGGAATGTTGGCGACATGGATGCTGGGGAAAAGGATGTTGGGACAAGTGATGCTGGGGAGAGGGATATTAGGGAC